TTGACATATACACGTGAATATAAGGAATTGCCATTGGAAGATAAAGTGCGATTGATACAAGATTCTGAAAGCGCTCCAAGACCATCAACTAAAGAGTTATCCATAAAATATAACACTAAGTTAAAAACAGTTTATAGTATTTTGAGTAAGAAAGAAAAATATCTGTGTGATTATTACAATAAACTTAAAGGGTCATCTGATTAACCCTTTAAAACACAAACTTTTAGCTTCCATACTCCCAGAATATGTAGCATATGACTTGTATAATATTGAGATTTAAATCACATGAAACCTCTCACGACAAAATTGTTGAGTGTAAGAGAGATGAGGTATGGCGTCCTGTCTGTGCCAAATTATTGATGCAGTTGATAGTTGAAAAAGCAAATAGATTTGTGGTTGAACAATTTAAATCATATTAATACTTGATATTAATATTAAAACAGAACTTGAATCGTGTTGTTTCTGAGAGTTTCACACTATGCTTTCTGTTTTAAAACTTCTATAATTAATGTATTGAGCACTATTTTAACAGTGATATTTCTATATGGCTCTACAATTGATGTATTGAGCACGATTTTAACAGTGATATTTCTATAGGGCTCTACAATTGATGTATTAAACACTATTTAACAGTGATATTTCTATATGGCTCTACAATTGATGTATTGAACACTATTTAACAGTGGTATTTCTATATAGCTCTACAATTGATGTATTGAACACTATTTAACAGTGATATTTCTATATGGTTCTACAATTGATGTATTGAGCACTATTTTAACGGTGGTATTTCTATATCATTCTATAATTGATGTATTGAACACTATTTTAACAGTGGTATTTCTATATAGCTCTACAATTGAAGTATTGAGCACTATTTAACAATGGTATTTCTATATAGCTCTACAATTGATGTATTGAACACTATTTAACAGTGATATTTCTATATGGCTCTACAATTGATGTATTGAACACTATTTAACAGTGGTATTTCTATATAGCTCTACAATTGATGTATTGAACACTATTTAACAATGGTATTTCTATATAGCTCTACAATTGATGTATTGAACACTATTTAACAGTGATATTTCTATATGGTTCTACAATTGATGTATTGAGCACTATTTTAACGGTGGTATTTCTATATCATTCTATAATTGATGTATTGAACACTTTTTTAACAGTGGTATTTCTATATAGCTCTACAATTGAAGTATTGAGCACTATTTTAATAGTGGTATTCTTAGATCGCTCTATAATTGATGTATTGAGCACAAATTATCAGTGAAATACTTAATATTAATATTAAAAGAGAATAGTTAGTGATTAATCGTTTCCTTTGATAATAGGTCACGGCAAGTGTGATAATCTTTAATGTCGTCAACAGATTAACTTCAATCAAGGTGCTGGT